CCCCACCTCGCCCTCCCTCCCCTCTATCCCACCCGTCCCCCGCTGCTGCTGCTCCTCCTCCGGCCCTTCCGTGCCCGCCACGGTCATGCCCGCCACCACCCACTCCTCCTCCTCGCCCACCAGACGCCCCCTGGCCGTCTTCCTCCGGATCCGCTCCACCTTCCCCGCGGGCAGGCCTACCTCCCTCCCCACCTCCTCGTGCGTGGGCTCCCTCTCCAGCTGAAGGTACAGGCGCAGCCTAGCAGCCTTGATTTTCTTAATGCGGGTCTGCAGGAGCACGGGCAGGCGCACGGTGTTGCTGTGGGTCTGGATGGCGAGGGAGATTGCCTGCCGGATCCACCACACGGCATACGTGGAGAAGCGGACGTTGCGCGTCGGGTCGAACTTGGCGGCGGCTTTTAATATGCCTGGGAACGGGAGCGAGAAATGGAGCGAGCGTCAGATTGTCTGCTTCTTCAAGGCTCTGCATGCAGATGTGTCCTCGCTACCCTCTTCCTCCTTCCCTCCTCTCCCCCTTCCCCGCTCAACTCACCTTGCGTCCCTTCCAATATCAAATCGTCCACGCTCAGTCTATTCTCGTTCTTCTCCTGGCTCTGGTGCAAGCGCACAGCCATGGACTTGACCAAGTTGATGTTCGTCTTCACCAGCAGCTCCCGGGCTGCCTTCCCGTCCGCGATTTGTCGCCTCAGCGCCGACTCCTCCACGCCCAAGGCCCGCGCCCACTCCGAGAAAGCGATGGGCCGACCCAGGGTCGATTCCTCCTCCGCTTTGACAGCCTTGCAGGTCAGCCAGGACTTGACGCAACGTGCCAGTTCCAATTGTTGCTTCGGAGGAGCGGGAGGGGACGGGAAAGAGAGGGAAAGAATGAGGATTTTCGGGACAGGCAAGGCCTGGGAACCGGTATCGGCCAGATAAAGATAGCATGAAAGCGTGCATACCTCGGCCGGTAGATGGATGGAGGTGCTGGTCTTCACGGAACCGTCCGCGCCCGGTGGGTTGGGCGTGAGGGGCCCTTTGAGGCTGCTGGTGAGGGTGTTAAGGGGGGTGCGCCGACGACTCCCGCCGGTGCCACCTCTCTCAGGGAAGCTGCCGCTGTTGCTGCGTGTGGTGAGACTCGCGGCACTCATAAAGAGTCTGTGCGGGTTGACCTCTCTGGGCGCTTGTCTGCATCTTGCCTCAGTGGACGGGATCCGGCCACAGAAGATCGAGGGGAGTGAGTCATGGACGTCGAAGAAAGGATATGCTGGGGAGAGAACACGACGACATGAATTTGCGAAATCGCTGATGACAGGTGTAGATGGTATTACAAAAGACTTTGCGCCTGATAGGTTGGGGGAATGGGAGGATACGGGGAGCACCGGAGGAGAAAAAATTGAGCGACACCGCACCGGGATAAAACAAGTATTTAAGAGAAGCTTGTCGATGAACCTAACCATAGAATAGTGAAATGAGGATAATCGCATGTTCCTAAAGCGGTCGCGGTCCAAGAGAGAAATAGGCTTCGAAGGTAGGGCATATACTGCGTGAGGGGTCGAATACGAAAGGCCACGCACGTACTTACCAGGGTTGGAAAAATAGAAGACCAGAAGGGATAGGGACAATGGCACAGCGACCGTACGATGGCCAAACTGACTGGGTCGTTTCATTGCTACCCTATGCGCGGACTAGATCACTGCATGTAACTCCAACACGGCCAGGTTCTCAGAGTGCCGGAATAGGCCACGCTGGATTCGTGCTGTGTGAGAGGATGGTGCCGTGACAAGGGCTGTTAAGAGAGGAAGTAGAAAACTTTATCACGACTTCAATATTTGCACTCCATGAATGAGTGCCTGTCCGATAAATGAGAGAACTCATGAGAACCTGAAAGCATGCGCATGCGACACGAACGCGTGGGGGGGCACGAGAACAGATCCTGGTGCTTGAGTCAGCGACAAGTGCGTGTCTCTCTGCCTTCGCGAGTTTCCCCCCACGCCTTCACCAGGCGGACCTCGCCACGCAGCAGCGATTTTTCACAAATGAAGGGTGACACAGGAAAAAAAAACATGCGTCCATTTTAAGACGGTCTGGAGGGTTACCAGAATGCTTAACTACAAGACGTGGCAGAGCCGGTGGACCGGGAGGTTTTTGGCCTGTCTGGTCATGGCGAACCCACACACATGCCTCCTCCCCCTCGTACTCCCCTCTCCGCGTCCTCGACATAAGGATCTGATTTCGGGGGGGTTTATCGCATACATATTCAGCTCAAGCACAAAAATCTAAGCACAAAAATCGGAGCTGCTCTTGGCCGTTCTGGGTGCTCTCCGGCCGCGCCCCGCCGTCACCTGATGGCCCCTTGATGAGAGACTGTCCATGTGCAGCAGCCCATGCGACGGGAGAAAGGCGACGATACACACAAGTCGGGTTCGAAAGTCAAGCACGATTAAGAATCTACAGCGCCAAAGATGAAGAAACAATAAGACATGACACACAACGCCTGTTTTCGTTAAACTTTGAATTGTGCGTCGAGCTTTTCCCTCGCGTCTAAAAGGGAGAGCTTACGACTTGCTCTTTTACGCCACAAGCTTGTCACATACCCAGAATGTCGAGCACCGGCTCGTCCTCCGAGCCTTCATCGGAAGACTCCACCTTCTTGCGGATGCGGCGCCTCCTAGACTGCGTCGGGTCTGCTGAGGGCGACGCCCCTAGGGGCTGGGGCTTTGAGTCTTCTCCCACGCCCACCTGCTCGGCGTTGCCCTCCCTCCCTTCCGCCATAGCCGTGCCACCCGTACCTATCTCCACGTCCATGGTCCCCTCCTTGGCGTCGCTGTCAGAGTCCGATCCACTCTCGCTGGAGGAGCCCGAAGGCG